CCCAGAATGTTATGGGTGCGAGCGCACCGACCGGGTCGTACAGTTTTGCTATGGTTGACAATATTGACCGTTTAGTGTACATATTTGTTGATGCAGTAGTATGGTAGCTAAATACATCCGACGTGGGTTCCCAATGTAGACCTAATATTTTTATTGATGATTCCTCTTTGGGATCAAATGACAATGTTATTGTTCTATCCTCAACTGRAATGGACCTTAAAACTTCCGCACAGTTACTTGCCCACTTTTTTAACACAAATCCACCGTGAGCTAATAATTTTTGAAGTTGTGATTGAACGAGAACTAATTCTGAAATAGACTCGGCGCCAGTGATGACATCATCAACATAGGTTTTTGTAGASWATATATTTTTTGCGGCGGGATATTGTTKTCCATTGTCTACCTCAAGTTGATGTAACACGCGAATAGCCTGGTATGGCGATACTGACACACCGTATGTCACGGTACACAATTCATATTCACATAGCGACTTCGATGGTGAATCACGCCATAATATATGTTGATATTGACGATCGCGCTGTGAAATCAAAATCTGCCGATACATTTTACATATATCGGCTGTGAACATATACGGGTAGAGACGACTGTGAAGTAATAGTTCAGCAATATCCGTCTGTAATTTGGGTCCGGTGTATAGTAAGGCATTGAGTGACAATTGTRACGTAGAGTGCGCGGACGCATCGAAAACCACTCTTAACTTTAATTGGTCACCCGTATACTTTACCACAGCATGATGTGGTATGAAGTACGTACCTTTACTTGTTGCGGGTTTCATATGCCCCAACTCTTCATATTCAACCATAAACTTCCGATATTCGTCGTATAAATTAGCATCACGTTGAAGTTTTCGTTCCAAATTATAAAAGCGCGAAAGCGCCGTGTGATACGAATCTCCCAATTCCGCGGGGTTTACCCGAAATGGAAAAGAAACGACATACTGACCATTTTCCTCACGTGTCGTCGTACGCGAGAATATTTCTTCGCAAATATCGTCGTCGGTAAACGGTACAGAAGGGGGAGACGGTTCTTCAATACTCCAAAAACTTTGCATCAATTGGTCAATTGACGGTTCAGTCGTTAACATAAGKGATGTAAGTTGTGATGTATTGTTGTTCACGGACGTACCCGATAAAATCCATCCTATCARTGTTTCGTACACTGATGGTATGCCGTCCGTATGAATAACTCCACCACCGTCCTTTAAGATCATACTGTGTATATCAGCACCTAATAAAAARTCGATGGGACCCGGTACATCAAACTGTGGATCAGCGAAACGGATATCGTTATAAATTAATCGAATAGACGAGTTTAATTTTACGGTGGGCATAGCCCCGGTAATTTTTGACATTATTACGGGTTCRCACGAGATGAGGGGAGCATTTGAAAGCTCTGGTTTTATTGTACAGGCAGTTATACCCTTTGTTTCGCGTACGGGTGTATGTGACAATCCCACGATTGTATGTTTACATTGTCGACGTGGTAAGCCTAATCTGGTGACACATGCGTTCGTAATGACCGATATTTGTGACCCCGAATCGATTAGTACACGAATAGGTGACCACATACCCAAGCTATTGCGTATATGAACGATTGCTGTGCCAAGAACAACGGTACTGGAGGTATAAGTTGTACCTGAAAAGGTGACATCGTCATTCGATGAATTCCCTGGCGAAGTGTTGTCAACACACKGGGACACTGTACTATCCTGACTCGATTCAATTGATTTGGGTTTTACAACTGACTTATCGAGATGAAGTAGTGTATGATGCTTTTGAGCACAATGGCGGCACGTGTGTTTTGATTGACATGTGGATGTTTTGTGATGAGCACTCAAACAGTTCATGCAAAGACGACGCGACTGTGCTGCTTTGAATCGCTGTTGGACTGGTAGAGAACTAAATTTAGAGCATTGAAATAAGAAATGAGAATCTTTACACATGGTACAAGATTTTTGTTGTCCTTGGTCAGGAATGTTGGACGTGAACAATGAAGATTTATGGTGTAATTTTTTATTCGATTCCGTTTGTTTAGGTAAACATGTCGATGTAGAATTTTGTAATATTTTGCATCGATTGTTGACAAACTTTAATAAAATATCAATAGTCGGAGTCTCATTAGTATGTTGCTCCGCTTCAAACAAACGTTTTGACTGCGCATCTAGACACCGAGATGCTATGTAAAATAGTAAGAAACCAGCCAAATCGTTAACGCCTAGTGYCTTTATAGCGGAAATGTTCTGTTGGAAAGTGTCTAAAAACCGTTTTAAACCTGATACTGATTCACTGGTGAGCGGACAAAAGGCAAACATAGCGTCCAGATGATAATTTACTAATAATCGTTTGTTGTCAAAACGAGTATGCAATGCCTCCCATGCAACCATATAATTGACCTCCGTGAAGGGTATCGAACGTACAATAGGTAATGCCTGACCCGATAAAGATGATAACAGATAATGAAATCTTTCTATGTCAGACAATTCATCGTTTTCATGAACTAAAGACGTGAACGTGTCACGGTAAGAACACCATTGCTGGAGATCACCATTAAATTGTGGCAATAGAATTTTCGGTAATTGAATATTGCTACGTGTGCTCCGTGACGAGACATTTTGAACACTTCGATCAGCATCTAAGTGATGGTTAGCTGCAACAGCTCGCACCTTATAAAAATTGTCCAATATAATTGCTTCAATAGACGCATGTGACTTGACAAATTCTTCCTCGCGCGATAGGATAATTAATTGGTCAAGRATATCGTCCTGATCGGTATGGAAATTGGCTAACAGGCTGTCGAGGTCACCAAATCGGACCCGAAAAAGCGTCTTTTGATCGGAATCAGATTCAATGTTCTCACTTAATTTCATGAGTGTTCTAAACTGTTCAACAGTGCAATCTCTTTTAACAATGCTACGCTTTAAAGATCGTTCAGCACGCTCGATGTCACCCACAGACGGCGGCATTATAGKTATATTAACACAAGGGGTATAATCGTAAAAGACCAGAAGCGGGTCACTTACAATACAATAGTGTATGATTATTAATCGATTAGTACAGAGATCAATTAGTATTAAGATTAATTACGGACAAATTAATTCGGTGGCATACACGATAYGACCCGTCTAATTAGCAGGTAACACGGGCGGCCTTCCAAATAGACCAATTTAATTTTATCAAAGCGAGAGTATCCTTTATCTGTGGTTGATATATGTTATATAATATAGTTAAAGTTATTATTTGGTGCGTAATGATATTTTAACGACGTTCAGGAATTGTGACTGTATGACCAATTAAGTGAACTTTGTTCTGTTCGTTAAAGATAGCATATATCGCATAATCACMTTTAGCCGTAATTACCCACAATGCGATTTACACTACAAATATACTAATACATATAATTCAAAATGACAATTTCAAGAAACTGAAAATGTTCATATTCTCAAACCCAAGTTGCTCACTGGCGCTAATCCCCTTAATTCATCCGGTTCGAAGGACCATGTAACACGTACCAATCCCTTTAACAATAATCGGGAGATTGGACACGCTGTGCGGGTTCCGTAATGAATCAGAGGATTAGGCAGGTAAAAATAATTAACCAATATGTCACTATCATGAGCTTAATATTTTACAACAAAATTTAAATAATAATACAAATAAATGGACAAATAACTCACGACAGCGTGACAATGCAAAACACGATATGA